TACGATAATCTGCTAACATACCGGCGACCCGACCTAGCTTTCGGCTCTTCGCTCACTGAACCGATCAGCACAACACGTGGCGGCATGCTCTTGTTCGGAATGAATATCGACCAAGACCAACAAATCACTCCGTCAGTCTACTTTCTCCAATGATTGCTCGCCCATGGGGAAAGAACGAGCTCGTCTTGAGTACGACCTACTCTCTAACTTGAGATACCCAACTCAGAGAGTGGGGGACAAACTGTTAGGCCAAAAATCGTCCTTGGCCCAAATAGGAAAAAGGCACAAGTCCAGTCCTACGGAGGCCCAAGCCATAGTTCTCGTCTAACATGAGGAACGAAACGCCCAAACTGAGCAGCACAAGCCTCTCAACCCTGGACCATGTCCTAGGTCCATGGACAAATCCAAAGCCCACAACCCCTCAGGATACTTTCCTATTCCTGATCACTTTCCTACTCGGAGTAACTCTTAATCAGAATCACCTTCCTATACGGACACGGTAAGACAGCTTACCACAATCCTAATTCTTCTAGGTTTTGTATCAGAGTCGTACTAGGACTCCTCCTCTCTACCAAGATTGGGAGACTAGACATCACTATATAAACAGAGGCTAGCCCTCTTACAGGGGCACGACATTACACCCTCACACCGAAACTCTTCACTCGAGAGTTTCATTGGGTCACCGTAGTCACGTCTCCGACTAGACTTCCGTAATCTCTCGTTCCTTACCCCTCACTAAATTAGCCCCTTTCTCTTGCTGACTTGAGCGTCGGAGTGCCTACGGCGAACACCACTCCGGTGTTTCCCGTTCGCTTCACGTGTGTGTTTCTCTACGTGTGCAGGTGCAGCAGATCGCTAGTGGCCTTGACCTCACGGATCAGACCCCCCCTCCGTTCAGGTATTTTTACGTCTACAATGACATATACTTGTTAACATTGTTTGTATGATTAGAAACAGAATCATAAATAGGAAAATTCTGAAAGACTTGATACAAACGTAAATTACTAGTCGGTCATACAAATGCATGCTTGGTTACAATTGAAGTAATAATGACCACTTTATTACATTAACGCACGTATATAATTCTCTCACTCAAGCCAAACAGGGTGTGGGATAATCTTCAATTACACTCCACATCAGTGGAATATAACATGAGAATCAAACCCATGCTCGCTTTATCTTCACTCAATCACTCTATTAATTTATTCATTCAACATCACATAATTGCGATAAATAGACTAAAATTGAACCACAAAAGTAGTAAAACATTATCTTTATTTAAGCTTTCTTTAATCTCTTTAGCTGTGATGACCATTGCTGCTGTTCTTATCCTTGACATGGAATCCTTTGGCTAATGGCTTTCTTGATAGCGAAGGTGCACTCCAGGGTCATGATGAGAGCATGAAGAATTGAATAAAATGGAGTTGTTAACACCTTGAACGTTCTGTTCATGTATGCATCCATGGGAGGAGAATGCATTCCCTTTCCTTTGTGACCTTGTCCTTCTTCTTGGAATTCTCTTCCTCACCGCTACTGCTGCTGCTGCCATGTTTATGCCATACGCTTCCACCCTTCTCTGTTTTAGGGTCAATGCGGCCCAGAGGATGAGGGCTGCCATCAAACCCATGTTTCACAGGGGACTTGATTACTTCCATGAAAGCACCTTTGTTCTCACCTGCAATTGTTATAACTTTCATGCCACCCTCCTCAGAATCTGAAGAGAATTTCTTGTGATGACCACCTTTCTTCTTTGCTTCAAAGTCTTTGTGCTCTTCGCGTTTCCCATGATGAAGGTGAGCAATGTGGGCCTGTGACTCTCGTGCAAATCCTTCTGGGGCCACTGACCCGAGGCTTAGGAGTTTCAATGGTCTTCTGAACCAGCACGCCCTTTTGCTCAGCCTCTACTGGGATTTTGGGTTCAAGCTCGGGTTTGGATTTCAGTTGTGGAGTGTAGAATTAAAGGAGAAGGTGGGGGAGCAGTGGGCTTTTGCTTAGAGACAGGGTGGGGTTTGAACCGCCGGCTTTATGGTTCTTGGAGATGGCGTTGGGGTGGGCAGACGAGTCGTGGTAGTTGTCCCATTGATGAAGTGCTGGTGATAGTTGGGACTGTTTTGACTGGGAAGTTGGGACTGTTTTGACTGGAGAAGTTGGAACTGTTTTTACAGGAGAAGTTGGAACTGTTTTGACCGGAGAAGTTGGAATTTGTCTGACTGGAGATGTAGATAAGGGTTTCGGGGAGAAGGGGAGAATTTGAAGTTGTAAAGATGGGGCTGGTTTTTGGAAAGAAGTTGGAAGGGAAGCAATCTTTGGTTTTAATAGGAGAGGATGGACTGAAGTGGTAGTTTGGGTTGTTTTTGACAGGAGAAGATGGCACTGAGGTTCTTCTAGTTAGAGGGAGGAACTGAGGACAAACCCGTCGTCGGTGGTGCTCCAGGTGCAGTAGTTTCTTGAGGTTGAGGCTGAACTGATGGCCTAAATGCAGGTAGAGCCAAAGGGGGCCGTGGCTGGGAGCAGGGGCTCGGGCTGGGCATGGGTGCCACTGGACGGGCTATGGTGGTAAACGGAACCAAGGACGAGATGGAGGTTGGTTGGTTCCATAATAAGGAGAGAGGTTTACTTACTTGTATAGAGAACTAAACTTTGAGGGAATGAACACAAGTATAGATGGCTCTTACGAGTTCTTATTTATAGAACTTACATGTCATGAGCAACGAAGCTTTAACCCATTTGGAAGGGAAATAGCAGATTAAAAAGCCGTCAGAAACACAACTTACACAGTTACAGATAAGGTAAGGCATCCGATTCAGCGGGCACCCACAGCAGACAAAAGTTCACAAAAGCAAATGGGTTAATTTGCTTTTTTGCATCCATGATGGTAAGGACTTCTGCTCTGTATAATTACATTAGGATCTATTGAATTGAATTTTAGCTTAGAATAATTGTGATGCAAACACCGGTTTTATGATTCTACTTGCTAGGTAGCTCATTGCCATTTCTACTCTTATGCTAAAAGCAAATATAATCATATCTTTGATAAATGGCGTAAGTTGTTTTCATGTGATATAATTTAATTAAACGAATGGGAAGAGCATTATCTTTTACTCTCTTTAGTTATGTTGTCACATTTGTTAATCAATGTTAAACAAAAGAATGTACATAACTTTTGTACCTATAAAATGATATTTATTTAGAAGTCGTTAATATTCGAGTGTTGGTATCAAATGTCATTTCCATATCAAGGAGAAGTGCGATCTGGCATATTCTTCAATTGCTAATGGCGGCCTGTTCTGTCTCTCAATATTAACCACTAAAACAGCCGTCAATATGGGCTGATTAGCATGCATACCCATGCTGTGCATTTAGCGGCTCTCTGCCACTCCAATGTCGTGCTTAACAGTTATAACATTGCACACATAATACTCATTCTGACTTCCTCAAGGTTCTTGAAAATGCTTGGTTTTCACATAACAACTTAACTAACTGTTATTGGATTCTTGCAAATCTTCAGGTGATTTTATTACCGCAGCTGTCTGTATCGTCTTGCTGACTTTGCTTGCAGAGATTGAGATGCTGTCTGCTACTTTCTCTCTTTCAACCATTTATTTTCACTTTTGGGATACTTGAAGAGGCTGCCTATAATCGTACGGATGGGGTGACTTTCAAGTTTCAACTTTAATTGCTAGTTAAATGCTCTAACAATTTCCAGCTTGTGGCCGGTGCTTAAGGAGATTTGCTCTTTTCTTTAAATTTTTAAGTTTAAATTTTATGATTACCTGTCATAATAATATTGTTTTGTGACTTATTTTTTTATAAAGTGATCAATAAACTCAGAAGATTAATTGAAGTATGCGTAAACTGGTTCAGACAACCTGAATATTAAAAAAAAAAAAAAAAAAAATGTAATGCTCTAACAATTCAATGTCTGTAAGAAGGACGTCTGATTGGAGAGAGAGAGGAGAGGTGACAATCCTCGGATTGAAACTCCAAAGATTCTAAAGTATTCCCAACTGCTACACAAGAGAAGAAAAGAATATAATTTTACGTGGGCCATTGGAGTATCCATATAAGTTATTTGTTTTTTTTTCTTTTTCACTAATATATGTTAAATCTAAAGTTGTCAATGGTAAAAATACAATGTTTCTATGTCCATTCAAAAGCAAGTCGTTCTTGTTAAGCCTCTTTAAGCAATTAAAAAAATATCAAATGGTTTAAATTCTAATCAACTTGTGCCTCAGCACTCTGCTACTTTATTATATGCAAGCATTGGTGGTAACTGCTGATATTTTATCACTGATCAAAGATTGGATGGAGATTAGTCGGAGACTTTGAAGGCTGAAAATTGATTATACAATCTAACACCGCAGAGTGTGTTAGATTGTATAAACCTAAATTTTATAGTTTTCCATTATTGGTATTTAATTAATTTATATATGGAATTCTCAAAGTTTGGATATATATATTTTTTTAAGGTATTTGAAGTATCTAAACCCATATTTAAGCATGTCCAATCATCAAAGCCACGAAAAGTTCTACAAACCTAATAGATTAAGGTAATTGCACAAATGTAGTAGGTATCTCTCATGCAACTCGAACACAAGACTCTCTAGGTATAGCTAACCATAGTAACTAAAGGATTTGTCATCCCTAGTTGAATATATGAATCCCTAATTGAATAAAGAGATCAAATGTTTAAATTATTTGGATCCATCTACTTGGGACATTATATTTTATAAGTTGCTTGATTATCAAGATTGTACAGTGTCAAAATTATCGTCGATTCAAAACTCAAAGAACACCTAAGAATTTATGGGTATCAAAAGAAAATTATTAATATTGAACTTTTACTTACCAATTTATAGTCAAATGATTATTAGGGCTCTAGCAATGAAGCTCATTTGTTTGGGCAGAGTGATTTAAGTAATTGATAACCATTCCAGAAACAAAAAACTAATATCTGCTAGGGAAAGCAAAAGGCAAGTGATATTGTTCCATTTCTAATGTTCAATAAAATGAAAGAGGCAATATGTGAAAATTGAAACTCATATGGTATTTAACTCTTTGAAGCAATGGTTACCACAGATTTAGAAAAGATAAACTAGTATACTATAGCGACAAAAGAAACTATCATTTTTTACAACATAGGTAAATCAAATTCAAGGCCATTGAGTGAATTCAAACACTTTAAAGACTATATCAATTCCAGTGGGAATTTGCCATATAAATAGGAGAACGTTTATTGCATTCAAAGCAATGTGAAGATTTCTTGCAGTCTCACTCCCTTTCTGCATTGCAGGTACTAGAGCTGCTGCTGCCGCCCATAGAACTGTTATGCCTGTTGTACAAATATCAAACCAGTAAGATCCACACTCTGAACTGCAAATTCTACAGTCCATTTTGCAAAATACAAGTGCTAAAAAGAATTAGGAACTTGAATTCTACCTGCTCCTGCAAACAAATGGGGCCCTGGGAATAGTTTTCCTGTTCTAAACCATGTGTTAACTCCTCCAGCAATAGCCTCGAAAACTCCAAAACCTAACAGTATAGATCCTGCATTGAAGTGTCTATCCCTGTAAGACCCTTTCACTAACTCCTTCCTCTCCTGAATTATTTCAAATACCAATGTGTTCAGATCATTTACTGAACTCAAAATCTCATGATCAGATTATGGAGCACAAGCATCAATTTTATGAAAACATCTGTTACGTAATATATACAGAATGACTCGGCCAACATCACTTCCTTTCAATTGAAAAGAAAATAACAATTGTCACATTACTTCCTGTACATGGGAATCACTATGTCAATCTGATAGATTTATGTGCACTTACATATGTAACAAAGCAAGCAGTTTGGAATCCTCAACTGCTACTTGAACTAATTATAGTTGAGCACATACATATTGTTCAGCTTCAAATTTCAAAATGATTACTTCTAAACAATGAATTTTCTACTTAAATTATTCACCAACTAACTTGATTCAATTATTTGTTTCATATTACATTCTCTTTCACAACATGTTTCTTATAAGGAACTTTTGAAACAATAATAGTGAGAATAAGCGAACCTCAGTGAGTTGCTGAATTTTAATTTCAACAGGTGATGGTGCTACTTCAACGGGTTTTCCATCAGGAGTAACTGGGGTAGGCTTCACTTGCTTCTTGAGCTCATTGATCTCATTCTGGACAGTCCGAACCCGCCTCCATTGCCAACCCAAATACCCTGCCCAGAGAGTGTAGAAAAACAAACTACCCATAACAATGGGGTGTATGAGTGCAAAAGTCCTGCCTTCCAAAATCCCAAACTCCCCACCAACAGCAAGTGCATCCTGACGTGCCAAAACAAAAATAACCCCACAGAGTAAATAATTCATTTTTTTAAAAGAAAAAAGAAAAAGGTAGAAGAATAATAATTTCAAAATTATCGTTTGTACTTGCCTTGGTATCTAAAAAGAAAGGCAATGCGACAGTTGTAAGGGGAGGAGCAACTGATTTTAAATGATGGATGGTCTTATTGAAGGGTGTTGGTAGGTGAGTGGAGCCTTTTGGAATGTTTAGTTTAGTAGCATTGGCGATAACTGGAAGTTTAGATCGGGGATCGGAGTAGGAATGGTGTTGTTTCTGAGAAAGAATAGGAAGTCTAAGGAGGCTAAGTGTGGCGGCCATGCTCTTTGTGTGTGTGTGTGAGTGAGACGATAACAGAATGGATAAGGAAGTGAGATGCCCAGAGGAGATTGCTCGGACTTGGAAATAATTTGCTGTATTTGCTTCGGATGTAAAATGGGCTTCTTACCATAGACGTTTAACCACGTGGGAAAATCTGGAACGCTCTGAAAAGTTGGGCTGTTTAGACACAGAGTTAAAGTTTTAATGTCTCTGAAACAACCAGATGCGGGCCTAGACAGATAGAAGTGGTTCTCTGACTTTTGTGCCAATGAAATGAAAGGTTTCTGGTATAATCAGTTTAATAATTAATTTTCATAACGCGACCAAAGTGATTTCAGCACCTTCCAGTAGGGTATTCGGTTTAGGGTATTCTATACTTTTTTAAGAAATCGAACCGATGGTTCCTTGAAATTTAGAACTAAAATCAGAATTGATGGTTCTGTTTCTAGGTACTCAGAACCAAAATCTATAACAATGATTCCGGTTCTAGTTTAGGGTACCCTATAAAATTACAATGAGCCTCCAATAGTTTTTAAAATGGCAAAAAAACTTTTAAAAACTTATAAATACCCATCCCCCAACCTGGCACTTGTTAACAAAAATAAAATTACAAATTATAAATTCAAAATTACAAACTCCATTACTTTGTAAAGGTAGATTCTCAAAAGTCAAACTAACTTACTTTAAATGTTATGAAATATAATATTGCTGTATTTAAATTATTTTTTCTACAAAAGTTTTTATTAACCCCCCTAATATTTAATTTTATTTTATATTAGTCTCGGTTCCTGATTCTGGTTCTGGATCCCAACTATAGGAACCAAAACCGTAACCACACAGTAACGGTTCTAAAAATTTAGAACCAAAACTTACCCAGACGATTGGTTCTGGGTAGGAACTGGAACCAAACCCAGGGTACCCACCAATTTCTTCTAACCGGTTCTTTTGAACACCCCTACCTTCCAGGCTCCACTTTGATTGTGATTTCTTTTTTTTTTTTTTTTTTTTTATTTACTTGATAGTATAAAGGGCCCCTATAAATTTTTGCATGAAACTTATGTAGGAATTTTCATTAAAATTATATATATATATAGGATGTAAATAAATAAAAATTATGATCATATCTATACTCATTGGAGACGACATTACATGTTAGGATGCATTTAAGGTGTATTTGATTCGAGGAATATTTTATTACTGAAAATACAAGATTACCAGTGAGATAGATTACTAAAGATTATGGGAGTGTTATATCAATATATTTGATTAGATTAGTGAGTATAAATAATTAAGAAGTTTGGTTGGAAATAATAAAATATTATTGATAGCAGCTTTTTCTGAATCTTCTTTCCTTTTTAAAATAATAATAATAATAATATTATTATTATTATTATTACTATTTAAATAAATTCTTTTAACCCCTTATATTTGAGAATTTAGCTAAAACACCCAACAACAAAGTTTAAATTTCAACAAAATATCTCCAACCACCCAACGCCACCGTCGACTGCCACTGTTAGCTGCTGGCGGCAGTCACCAAAACGTCACACGATAAGAGAGATTTGGCTTGTTGGGTGCCGTTTTGGCTATTTTCGACCAGATTGAAGGTAAAAAACAACTAGATTGTCATGGATTTGGTTGAAAACTACCAAATCCGCACCAATCTGGCTGTTTCAAAATAGATTGAAGGCCAAAAACAACTAGTATATCATGGATCTGACCAGAAACGGTCACAAACAGCCAGACCTGTTATGGCTCTTTTCGGCCAAATCCACGGCAATCTAGATGTTTTCAACCTTTGATATGGTCGAAAACAGTCAGATCGTGTCGGTCGTACGACTATTGCCGATGGCCTACAGTAGCTGGGGGTATTTTTTTAACTTTCAAACTTTTGTGGCTGTGGTGTTTTAGCTAAATTCTCAAATATGGGGGGTTTGGGTCATTGTTATTTGGTAGACATTTGAGGGCAATTTAGTCTGAAATGGCTTTTATTTAAGGGCAAATTTGGTTTTTTTAAAAAAAAGATAACCCTGGTAAAAAAAGATTAACACTTCTAGACTAGGTAATTTGATAACCCCGAAAATCACCAACAATATTCACTATTAGGAAGGAAACATTCTCGTAATCTTATATTATTGTCAAATCAAACAAAAGAATGTCTGGAATCAAAGATTGGCAACAGGAGTTATCTGCCCACAGCCTTAAAGTAATGAAAATATTAAGTTTGCAGACTTCTTATCATATGTCTATCATACACATTTTAATTTTTAAGATTTCTTATACAGTTAATGACTTGTTCCCACCCAAATAAGTAATTGGGCAGAGTAAGAGTGTTATCGTGCAGTTTCTGAATATACACTATACAGGAACGAAAACTTCTAGAAACCGCAGTTACAACCCTAGGATTCATATTTTTCCAATAACTTTCACGTTTCACGTTCATCTTATACACAGCAGGTGCGGTTACTTATTACTCTCATAACATGAAGTTATAAAGCTATATCAGAGCATGATAATATGATAATGAAACAAGAAGTTAGGTGTGAGACAAAATGGCACCAGGTCAATTACACACCTAAATTTATTATTTTCAAATTTATCTTGATCATGATTTAGAATAAAAGAAATACAGGTGAGACTGTTAGGGCCAAAAATCGTCCTTGGCCCAAATAGGAAAAAGGACCAAGTCTAGTCCTACGGAGGCCCAAGCCATCATTCTCGTCTAACCTGAGGAACGCAACGGTCCCAACTGAGCAGGCACAAGCCTCTCAACCTGGACCATGTCCTAGGTCCATGGACAAATCAAAGCCCACAACCCCCTCAGGATACTTTCTATTCCTGTCCACTTTCCTACTCGGAGATAACTCTAATCAGAATCACCTTCCTATACGGAAACGGGTAAGACAGCTTACCACAAATCCTAATTCTTCTAGGGGTTGTATCAGAGTGTACTAGGACTCCTACCTCTACCAAGATTGGGAGACTAGACGATCACTATATAAACAGAGGCTAGCCCTCTTACAGGGGGCATCGACATTACACCCTCAACCCAAACTACTTCACTCGAGAGTTTCATTGGGTCACCGTATCACAGTTCCGACTAGTACTCCGGTAATCTCTCGTTCCTTACCCCTCACTAATTAGCCCCTTTCAGTCTTGCTGACTTGAGCGGCGGAGTGCCTACGTGCGAACACCACTCCGGTGTTTCCCGTTCGCTTCACGTGTGTGTTCTCTACGTGTGCAGGTGCATCCAGATCGCTAGTGGCCTTGACCTCACGGGATCGACCCCCCCTCCGTTCAGGTAGATTTTTACGTCTACAGTTTAGCGCCACCGTGGGGCCTCTAGCATTATTCGGCGTGACGAACCCTGCTACGTGGAGGAATATTCCATGGCTACAACTCCAGAGGACGGTAACTCAGGCATCGAGGCCAGACTGGGGCTTGACCGCTTCCATGCAACAAAGTAGACAGGTGGCCGCGCTGGAAGCCGAAAACGCATCCATCCGGGTCGAGAACCAGTCGCTGAAAGAGAAAGTAAGTCAATTCTATGAACTCGAGTTTCTCCCCGCCAGCACCCCTCCAACCGATTCCGCACATTATCCCCTCCATGCAACCCCTCTCCACACCAGAGCACCAACCCGTGATTCTGGCAAAGGGCGTCCGCCTTGACGCATGGCGGTCGATACTCAGTTCTGACTAACGAGTATAAGACACAACGGCGCGCGGTCCAGTTGACCATCCCAGCCTCATGATCAAAACGATCTACCATAGAGAATCCTAAGGACATCCCATCTCCACCATGCCACTCCCTCCAGTCACCCAAAACAAACCCCCTCCTGCCTAGCTCATCCTCCGGGGTGAACGGCCAAACCAAACCAACACCAAGCTCGTTGAATTCACCCATCCGCGAAAGACCCCGAACAACTACCAACAACTCCCCTGACCATCCATGTAGGAAGAACAACAGAACAGTGACAAGGGAGTCATCCAGCCAGAAGGGATGAACGACACCATATGCTACCAAGGAACGCACGACGGACTGATCGGTCAGTCTACCCCCCAGGGGATGAGCCGAGGAGACGTACCAGACGTAAGACAGGATGACCCGATAGCATTTCCTTCCCCCGCAGAACATTATTGGCCAAAAGACTGGCCGACGTCGAGGCAGTAATGAGGCGTATCCCAGGAATGCACATCCCAACCAAAAAAAGCAGCACCGAATTGTACGCGGACTCACCTTTGCGACGAGATCGCCCTGGCTGACATGCCCCAAAAATTCAATATCCCAACATGAAACCATACGACGTACCACCGACCCGACGACCACATAGCCTCGTACAAACAGCGATGTTCACTGTTCAATACAACCCGGCCTCTTAGAGAAGCCTGTATGTGCAAAAGCTCTCGTTCCAGTTTGTCTGGTCCCGCGCTCCAATGGTATACGAATTCTCCCGAACGGATCCACGATTCGTTTCGCACAGCGGTTTATTGACACTTTTGTGGAACATGTTCGCCAGCAGCAAGAAGACTAGAGAAGCTGGTCGCGACTTGTACCAATATACCACGGAGAGGGGAACACTTGAGAGAGTACCGTGTAATTCAACAAGGAGAAAAATCTTATCATTCCTGTAAACCCCGAGACTTGCTGTGGACGCTTTCAGGAAAGGCCTCCTTCCAGACGGGAACTATACAAGGAGCTCACAAAGCTAGGCTGTACTACCATGGAAGATGCTCTGGCCCGAGCCGTGATCCAAAAGGTGGGAGAGGATGGATAAACAGCCGCCCATTCCAGATACGAACCTAGGCGGCGGACAGGAACCGGAACCTAGACCGACAGAGCACCGTACCAACCCCCTCAAGGAACATGAGCAGAGCCAGGAGACCATACGACCGCCAACCCTCAAGAAACAATAACAGACAATCGGATTCGAATCAATTCCAAATACCAAGTATAATACCAGCATCGAACCAACCCAGGTCGTGACGATAATGAAAGGTAGGGATCCGCTGTCAGGGCCTGGGAAGCTTAATCCTGAGGCAAGGAGAG